TTGTTTTCAGTTTATATTTATACTTTATGTTGTTTTATTCACTGTGCACAGCACATTTAGTCTTATTATAGTATATATCGGCCTATTTTTAATTTATCAAAATGTAAATATTTATTATATAAGATTAATATATTAATCTATTTCGGATGTTATTCCTTTTTTTTCCTTTGTATTTTTTAAGGAGACGCGCATGTCGATTGCGCGAAGCGCATTATTGAGTTTTTTATTTTGCATGTGTGTAACAGGAATATGGATGGTGATGAGTGATATGAACTATAGGATATATTTTTCCTTATCATTGTATGAATTCACAGTTGAATATTTATGCTGAGGCAGCAAGGGTGTTTCTCATCCATCATATCTGTTTCACCACTTTTTACCTAGGGGGTGTTCCCACGGGCGGATCTAATTTACATTACTACTTTGTAGATCTAAACTTTGGTAACTCTACAACTTATGACAAAACGTATACACAGAATCTCAATTTTCCTAAATGGTTATGTAGAGATTCTATTTGTTGTCAGAATGTTAGAAATACTTTCCACATTTATTTTATCAACAACAAGCCCGAAACGATATCTTTTATCTATTTTTTCTATCGCCTAAAATAAAAAGTGAGTATTTATGACATTTTCTTCTTTATTTTTATTTATAACACCCTTAAATAGTCATTATAATGAGTTTCTAGCATTTATTTTAAAATACATCAAATGTCATTCTTGGTTTTAACGTCTTTTCCTCCTTCTGACGAAGTGAGTTTCAGGATGGTATATTCAGTTGGATTTCAGCCTCGAAAAAAGTTCGAGAATTACTCACTTGAATCCCCTTTCATAGATAAATGTGTGCATCCCAAGCGATCTCAGGCGGTGCCCTCTTTTCCATTACCAGTAGTAACCCACATGTTCAAAAAATTCAAAGGTGCCCATTGGAGGCGTTTAATTGACAATTCTATCGAATTGCTTCGGCGAACCTTTACGCGGGAAGCTAGTTGGGCGTTAAATATCTTACCCGAACAAATTCGAGGCGTCGAGTTTCGCCTGGGAAGTCTCTATGTGACTTTTCATGTCACCCACGACGATGACGTATCTCAGGAGGAGATGCGTCAGCGTATTGAAGAGTACCCTTTTAATGAAATGTGGCAGCTTTACAATCAATCTGATAGTGCTACAGATGATTTGGATGCTTTAGGGAATGTAATTAAGGGTCTTGAAGAGCAATTAACACAAAAGGACATTGAGTTAGAGTCTACCCGCAAAATAAATGAGCGACATGGCAATGAGCTCGCAGAAGAAATTTCAAAACTGAGAAATAGCGTAGAAGCTGCAGAAAATCGCGAGAAAGACTTACTCAAAGAATTAGAGAAAGCGATAAAACACCGTAAAACAAGTGAAGCCCACCTCACTGCATCAAAGGAAGAAAACCAAAGATTATTAGACGATCTTGAAAACACAAAAAACAATTTTGCTGAACTTGAAGGAAAATATAAAGAGTTAATTACCGCTATAGTTCAAGAAAACAAAAAGGAAACTGAGGCCAGAGAACGCGAGCTAAAGGAACAGATTACGGTGAAGAGTTATATTATACAAGATCTTGAGGCAAAACTTGGTCACTCACGAGGCGTTGAAGTTGATCCGCATAGTTTTCTCAACAGGAATAATAGTGACGCTTCAAGAAGACTTGCGCTTCGTATTGAAGAGATGTTACTGCAACTACGACTAATCGAGAAATCCAAAATAGATGTCCATAGCGAACTTGGACGCATTTCCGAATCCTTAAGATTTACAGAGAAAGCTAGATTTGTACAGTCTGTTTTTTATGAAACCTGAATTTCCTTCATTCCCTAGCGGATTATGACAGTTGAAGACTGTATTTCAAGAGCATTGTTAAAGGGACCAAGAAAGGCGTCAGATCTACACTGTATTTGACTAAAACAAGCGGCATCTGTAAAATAGGACGATTGTGCAGAAATACAGAGTTTCCATGGGTACTAATACAGATCTCTTTCACCCCAAAAAACTCTTTGGTGGATAATTTGAGTCCTACCAAACAATTACACTTACGAATATAGACACCAAGTTCTTTAAATTCAAGGGGAGTTTGTGTTATAGAGAATGATTTTCACATCTTCATCACTAAGTGTCATGTCTTTATAGGAAAATTTATGGAATATTTTTGTTCCAGAGATCTCAAGGTGGTTCAAGGCTTTGACAAATCAGCATCCAGCACAGGAAGGTTGCAAAATACTCTAAAAGTAATAACTGTCTTTCTGGATTTCAAAAGGGAGCTTATTTGATCAAAATATGTGTATGAAATTCTACCAGCAATAACTACAAATACGTATTGATTCATTATTTCTTAAACGCGCATTGGACCTAAGTGGATTAAATGACTCTGATTATTAATATATATATATATATATATATATATATT